TTTGGGGGGTGGGATGGGGTTTGGGGTGTGGGATGGGGTTTGGGATGGGGTTTGGGATGGGGTTTGGGATGGGGTGTGGGATGGGGTTTAGGGTGTGGGGTGGGGTTTGGGATGGAATTTGGGATGGGGTTTGGGATGTGGATGGGGTTTGGGATGTGGGATGGGGCTGGATCCATACCAGCAGCTGGTGGGACACTGGTTTGGGGATTTGGGAAGGGGTTTGGGGGTGTTTTTGGGTGGGATTTGGGTTTTGGGGATGTTTTTGGGTGGGATTTGGGGGTGTTTTTGGGTGGGATTTGGGTTTTGATGGTGTTTTTGGGTGGGATTTGGGTTTTGGTTGTGTTTTTGGGGGGGATCTGGGTTTTGGTGGTGTTTTTTGGGGGGATTTGGGGTGTTTTTGGGTGGGATTTGGGTTTTGGCGGTGTTTTTGGGGTGGGATTTGGGGGTGTTTTTGGGTGGGATTTGGGTTTTGTGGGTGTTTTTGGGTGGGATTTGGGTTTTGGGGATGTTTTTGGGTGGGGTTTGGGATTTGGGGTGTTTTTTGGGTGGGATTTGGGTTTTGGGGGTGTTTTTGGGTGGGATTTGGGTTTTGGGGTGTTTTTGGGTGGGATTTGGGATTTTCCCCCCTTACATCCGAGGCCAGGCGCTCGTAGTCCTCCATGAGCTGCTCGTTCTCCTGGTTCACGGCCAGAACTTTGCAGATCCGATTCGCCGCCGTCTCCGCCTGCGGAAAAACGGGATTGGGAATGTGGGGCTGGGAATGGAAATAGGGGAATGGGGATATGGGATTGGGAAATTGGGAATGGGAATATGGGACTGGGAATGGGGATACGGGAATGGGAATATGGGATTGGGAATGTGGGGCTGGGAATGGAAATATGGGAATGGGGATATAGGATTGGGAAATTGGGAATGGGAATATGGGATTGGGAATGGGGATACGGGAATGGGAATATGGGATTGGGAATGTGGGGCTGGGAATGGAAATAGGGGAATGGGGATATGGGATTGGGAAATTGGGAATGGGAA